GTGATCATTATTTTACAGAGAAGGCGGTTGCACTTCACGACTTCTGAGTTAGTCCATAGTCCTCAGTGGACGTGGACTAGACTAAACAGACCCAACCGTACTGCGACTGCCACCTAGCAGTTGATTTAGCAAACGTATTGTTCCTACTACAATGCAGATTGACGTGTGGCCTGCTTTCCCATCACTAAATATCAAATCTGGGTTGACAGATCCCCAGAACCAAAGGTAATTATCTTAAAAAGGCATAATTCGTTCCTTATACTGGCCTACAGACAAGCTATCTACGAGCTATCAACACGAGTCATTAAGAACCGATATTTAGTTCCCTTCGTTAGAAGAACACTTGCAATGGAGAAGGTAGAAAGCAGTGGTGTTACCTTCCTTATCAGTCGAGAACACATTCTTTACTTGTCCCCAATCTGAAGTGGACATATTCTAATCAACTTCACTTATCTCAATTCAGCCAAAAGAACACTGAAGAAGTTGGAGTAAAGAAACGCTGATGTGTAGTTCTTTGTATTTAAATATTTACGTAAAATTTACATAAAATACAGAATCGAAGTGCTGACTTCACCAATCTCCCAAGAAAGCAAATTAAAGCAAAGGTTGCTGAAGCTTTCCATGATAGGGGTTTCGGTGGGGCCTAAGATTTTGTTCACATTTTTGTTTCACCAACAAGGGGGGTTTACCACCATGTTAAAAAACTAAGAGTAACAGCTAAGGATTGCTGAAAATGACTGCATTGAGTTAATTTTTCCCCGAACGAGAGAAAATCACGCGTGTTTAAACGGACTGTTACGATCAGAACTAATTCACACCAATGCATTCGAAAACCGTTACGCCTTGCACAACTCTGTCATTTCAATATTTTGTGGGATCCGCGCAAAAATTACTATGGAAAAAATACATTTGCTCTCGTATTTTTATCAGTTTGTTTCAACATTACCGTGAAGTTATTAGCTTGAAGTCGTAGCTGACGAGACGATATTTATTTGCCACGCTATACAAATGATTAAGCACTGCCAGACTTGGTGTTCCAATTAGTAGGCTGGTTTTAAATACCAAAACGTTATGTCGACTGAAACAAGATTAATTTTAGCGGAAATTTGAGAGTACCAGCTGGTGTGGTGGACTGCTAAACCTTTTTCATTAATTCAAAAGACGGTAGTTGCTTTTAGGACGTTTTATAGTTGTGGATTGCATAATTCAAGTCTTTTGCCTTTTTATAAACTTCAAAAGAACTCATTATTACCAACACGAAGAATTAGCGACAGAAAATGCATTTAAAGAGTTCAATTTACCAGTGGGTGTGTAGCATTGCATGCCTACCAGCTTAACTCGACTCTACCAAAGTGTTACGAGGTCGATCTCACAAGGAAATGTGCTTTCGATCAATCATGATTTTTCCGAACCTTCTATACAAATCTTAAATTAGGTTTTAATTAAGACAATGCATAGACCATGACTTCTGCTTAATGCATTCGTGAGACTCCTTGCTCTGGATAAATCTCTGCAGCGGCATTGTGGGATTATTTTTCCGCAATATTTGAGGAAATGTCAACATTTTAATCTGGGTGGAGTTGATGGAACTTGCATTCCCCGGGATATCCAAAAGACAGAAGGGTGCCTACGTCTTCGTCTGACGGTTTCTTGCGCCAATATTGCCAAAATGAACCGATGGCATTGTTTTGGTTGGGATCCTCGATTGACCCATAAAGTAGACCCGGTCCTTAAATGTTAGAAATGCAACTCATGCCACTGCCAATTGTTCACTATGACAAACACAGCACAACAATTTCCGGACTGAAATTGCTCCCGGGGCATTTTGTTAGAGACAAAAGGAAACCTCATATTCATTACCTAAATCTGAAAGGTTTAGTTAAGCCGTTAATTACATTAAATACCAGCGAATCTATTCAAAATGATGGGCACAGACTCCAGAAAACTAGGACTACCGGAGCAGAGTGTGGCAATTGACCAACGCCCATTCGTTCACCCATTAATAGTCCATTTACAATGGTGTCCCCATTCCGATTGTCCCTGTGTTCGCGAGCCACTGGAGTAAGAATTTTACGACCTGCCCACCCCCTCAAATCGAGCGCGCCTGCGCGCGAACGCCATTTAAACACAGATCACCAATCAGAACGCTGAACGACGGTTAGCGAAGCATAGCTAGCGCGCGTGAACCGCCCGCTGGCTCGCGCATGTCTGCCGGTTAATTTATGTTCGTTGTCGGGGCAAAAGGGGGTAGTGAAATGCTGGCAACTCGTGGGGGGTTGTGATATTCCTCCGCATCATTGTTTTTACTATCTATCAGAAACGGGGGAGGAGGGGCGGAGCAGACAAATCTTGGGACCCAGACGTCATAAATTCAGCATCTTTTCTGATGTTATTACCCAAAGGTGGCAGGCCTTTCTGAGCCATAAAGGGGCAGCTCTTTATGAGACTGTATGCATTTCGTGAGAATAAACCTGGCTTAGTTATAAGTCAGGAGCTGATTGTTCGGAATGTTCGAGAATTGCTAACATTATGCCCAAATTATAGCGTGTGTAGAGGTTAGTTTTAAGGTCGCCTGCTTTAAGGCAACTTCCGATCCATGTCCTTCGGTAGGTAATCCGATGGCTTCTTAAGTATAAGACGAAATTCTATTTTACAAAATAAGTAAACTGCTCTTTGGATTTCTTCTGTACACGATTTGCTTTTTCATTAATTCTGTACTTACTGATCATTAAAATGATGAGTTGCTACCAGATTTTACCTCGATCGAGTCGAGGTTCTGCACTGCTGCTTAAAAAAGAATCTTCAACAGAGATCCCAAATTTATGAAAAGCCTCATAAATTGTGATCCGCTATTTAGTTAATTGACTAATTTGACTTGAGTAGAAACATAACTACGTCACGCATGACTTCATTTACGGGTATTAACCACATGGTAATACGGAGACTTGGGTAATTCAAGTGCTCACTGGGACTCATGAGATGCAACATCCAATCATAGTCTTTGATAATCTCGGAACAAACACCAGGAGCAGGCTATCATTTCTGATACTCCCACTTCATAGTCTGTTATATAACTTGCTCCAACTTTTCATGTATGCACCTCTAAACTCTTGTTACAAAATTTTGGGTCCTTGGATCACCCATACTTGACATTTATATTTACAATGAACTTGAAATTATGCCACGGGAGTACCCCTCAGTCCATAAGATACGAAAAAGGTGAACTGGATCTATCGAGAACATGACGATTACTGTACCTCATGAATTTTTTTCCGATACATTCAAATGTAGAATCTAGTTTGACTTGAACAAATGGACAAATAAGACCGTTTTAAAAAGTCATTGGTTGAACTAAAATGAAAGCAAGAAATACTTCGTTTGTGGCCAGCAACAAGACCTTTAAATCTAATTCTGAGGCCTTAAACCAATCCGCAAGTAACCTTGGTGCAATTAAAGTGGAATCGTTTGAGTTGTGGTGTCCAATACGAGTTAACACAAAGGCAAATGTTGGGTGATTAAACGGTTCGCGCCCGATTTTCGTAGATGGCAAAAGTATTCACTTTTGACTGTCCCGATTGTAATTTCATTAAAAATGATTTTAATAAAGTTTGTTTAAAATGATAAGTGTGCATTGTTTATTTATACAAAATGAATATGAATTTGCGTTTTCAAGTTGTTTTCTTAAATGATTTTTAAAAAGGATTGACTGTTAAAACTGCGAAAAACCATATTCATGACGTTTATTCGAATCTTGCTTCCTCCGTGTACACTGTTAAACAGAGGCTTCGTTGACATCAAAGTGAAATTTCAATCTATTAAATAGAATTGGCCGTGGACG